TCATTTAGTCTTTTTTTTAAAAGCAAAGGGGTAGACTGTAGTTTCAGTGTGTGTGATTCAGTGTAAATTTCTTTCCAATTAATAGGCGAAAAATCTGCACTGAATTCTGTTGAGACTACTGACTAGACTAATTCAAGTATAAAATTGCGGTGTACCCTAAATAATAGGATTATTGTGATCTCAAGACGGGGTCCGTCTATAAAATATAAGACGCTTGTACTCTGCAATGTGATGTAAGGTTGGATGTACTGGGAGGGAAAGAAGAGGAAAAGTAGTATCACCAAGTGTCCTATTTAGAACTAGATAGATTAGAGTATAGGGTTGTGAATATAAAGTCAATTATTAAAGGTTGCGAGTATTAGAAGAGTCTGAACTCTGCGGGTTACAGTTGAGGAGAGAAAGAGAAGGAAGAAAACGTGACAGACTTGGTATGTTTGCTGCTTGAAATTGTCTTGCATATTTTTGCATGTCACCTGACTGGTTCAAAATAAAGGGACGATGCGATGCCAAGCTTTGATTGGCCGACGTGAAATAGTGGTGATTAAACTTACTCTTAAGCGGCCTTAGCGGTAAAAAAAGTTTTCTTCACTCGTTAGCTTGAATAAGGTTGTAAGAATAATACCCTACTCTGATGAGGTCCGTCATACGACGGACGAAAGCTTAGCATGTTTTTACCGGAATCGAAGGAGATTAACTCTGAAACAGTGTCAACAAGAATGTACCAGTAAAGCCAATCTACAACTGGCCAAGAATAATCCGCCATCGTATTCTGGTGAGAGCAACCTTCGAAACTCGCCGGGATCGTCAGTGAGCCTTAACACTCCTAGCACCACATAACAAATCGTCAGGGGCAAGTGAAGCCGATAGTTTGAGCAATTGTCTGCTAAACAATAGTGATATCCCTCCTTCCATCCTGGGCTGATCACCAATCCTATATCCTCGTATCACGCCTTCACTATTACAATGTTTAATTGTTTATTTAAATGTGGTATGACGTGCCCTTTGAAGCGGCCCTCATGAGAACTCTCTACACTCCACGCTGGCTTTCTCACACCCCTTCACTTTTGTGCTGGAAATGCTGATCAGAGTCTGCCATATTTTTACGCAGTCCTCCTTCAAGTCGACACCTACCACCCCATCTGTGCTACTCCAAGCGTTATTTCCCACACTCATGCATCTGGGAGATAAACTTGCGGCTAAAGCCTCTGAGTAATTCTTATGGTCAAGCCATGGCTTCATGGACCACGTCGATGGTAAAGCAGGCCTACTGTCAGCCAAGTTGCTCTAGTCTCCGCCGCGTCTATCCTGTTTCTAGCCCTAACACCAAGTCTATGACTTCCTATGCCCTAGTCTCTTGTGCGCCAATCCGGAAATGTTGTGATACTGCTTGCTTTGATTAGGTTCAAAGTTGAACCACAACGTCTGTGGGTTGACACACAAGAGACTAAGGTATAGCAAATACGGGCACACCGTACCACATTTAAAGAAGCAAGTAAAAATTAGTGATAGTGAAGGCGTGATTAGAGGATATAGAATTGGTGAATAGCCCAGGGCGGAGGGAGATAGCACGATTGTTTAGCCGACAAATGTTCAAAGGATCGGCCTCATTTGTCTTTGACGCGTTTTAGTGTGGTGCTAGGAATGGCAAGGAGCACTGACGGCGCTGACTATGATGCCGGAAAAGCGTCTGGGAATGTATCACGTCAATGGTCCGACTGGAAATTGTCATGGATACAATGGACTCCAGAAAAACTTCTATAAAAAATTCATTTAAGAAAATTTTCCCACCAAACAGAATCGGAACCATTTTTCAAATACTAAGGCGTTGCCGTTCATAAAAATAATTTTTTGTGGTCTATCAGTGGCAAATCATAAAACCGAAAAAGCTGTAGATAAAAAAGAGGGAAATTTGGTCTTAAAGACTTTACCTCAAAGAATGTACAATGAAGCATAATAATAAGAATATTAATATCGACGACATAGAGATTATGATAAATTCCTATTGATGTTGCATCAACCTAATAATAGGAGGCAGTGGACGAATAAAAAATATAGCGAGACACAACTCACTTTTGCGTGTATTCATCCTTAATTCCATTCGAAGCTTTGCCATTTCGCCTTCCACTGGAGTATGCCCCACCTCCTCCATTTCCTGAACGCCCCCCACTACCGACCCCTTTGCTTCCAGTTCCACCACCCCTAGGTGCCACAGGCCCACCTGCTGCACTTGTTGTTCCATGGCTGTTAGAAGATCCAGATCCAGTGCCGGCTCCACTGTTATTGCCACCATTGCCAGCATTAGTTAAGATGCTACTCCCACCACCACGACTGGGTGGGCTGCCTGGCGCCTCAGTGAAGATGCGAACAGCATCGACCCCAACACCAGTACAAGTCTGGATGTCATCCGGGCAGCCTGAATGAGCATCAGCAGAGACCGCTTCCTCTACCGAAGAGAGGACAGAATCATGTTGCTGAAGTTGGCGAAGATGCTGATTATCCTGTTGGGAAGAATTTGGGAAAGATGGAGAAGTTTGAGAGCTGCAGGTTCCATGGCTTCCAATGAATTCCGAAGGGATTGATCTCAGTCTTACTGATCCGTGTGTTGTCGTAGGTAGGTGACCAGCTCGAGACTCAGACTCGAGTATTGCTAATTCACAAGTCCGCTTGTCTCGATTTGTTGAAACGCTAGATACTTTGGGCGTAATCGAAGAAGACTGTGATACTCGGGAACCCAGGTCAGACAGATCGTTGAGCAACGATCCATTGGAGCTACCAACATAGAAGGATGAGGATGAAGCAGAAGACGAGGATGAGGAGGATAAAGAGGATGAGGAAGAGGAGAAAGAAGACGATGGAGACGATAAAGGTGAGCTAGTGACCGTTGCTACTAGCCCGGATGTGGAAGAAACGGGGTTGGAGGAAGAAATGCAGATAAGGGAAGCGCAGTTGGCGGGGATCTCCTCAGTTTGTAAAGATTTGCGATCAAAATGCCTTGAGGAAATATCTCCTTGGCATATATCAGATTTAGGCATGGGACTAGACTGAAGGTGATCGAATTTTTCTTCGTACTCTTCGTCGTGCCCTTCCACCTCACGAATCTCAGCAGCAGAATCTTCAATCATAGAACGTTCACCAGGCAAAGCGATGTTGGAAAGCTCGAAATCGAGGCTAGTAGGATTGCAAGTGTCAGATTTTGCGTAAACAAATTGGTCCTAGAAAATTAATAAGAAATTGAATAAAATCTGCTAGAAAAACCTATAAAGCAAATATGAAAAGAGGGGTTTGCCAAAGCAATTTGCTTTAAAATGATTCAATAAAGGCAATATGACAAAGAAACACCTCACCAAGTCTGAAAAAGCTACGGTTTAGTTAAGCAAACATAGGAAATTGACATAGAGTGGGGTCCAAAAGTTTGAGTCCATCAACAAGAACCGTTTTTATTTCATGATTTATGGAAAATGAATACAAATTTTTACATAATTGATAATTATAAAATAATATTAGAGTATCCTGTTGGCTTGACCTCGTTTTCACAACTTGATAGGTGGTGGTGGCCACACCATTTTGGTCTTCATACCAAGGATTACAGAATTTTCACTAACAATGCCAGTTCATCAATGTAAATCAACAAAGGTTTAAAAGTTGTTTTCGCAACTTGGTCATATTGGTAGGAAGACCCAGAGGAACGCATCTAGTTCGGAGTCCATAGTATGCATGATAATTTCCAGAGTCTGACCGAGGACGTGGTACATCTTCAGACGCTTCGCCGTTATCGGCAATGAACTTTAAGTCATAATTGAGTAGGGTTTCGATCCTTTGACCAATTGCCTGCTAAACAATTATGGTATCTCTCCATCTACCCTGGGCTACTTACCAATCCTATATTCTCGTATCACCCCTTCACGATGGCAATTTCTTAGTTAAATATGAAATAGTGTGCCATTTTTAACGGGTATTACGGATAAAAGTAGGATAGACGCGGTGGAGACTAGAGCTTTTTGGCCAATAATAGACGTTCTTGATCATAAGTGTGATTCATGAAGCACGTCTATTTTTGGTGAAATAGCTCGAGCCTCCACAGCGTCTATCCTGTTTCTATCCGTAATAGCAAGTCTATGACTTGCTATGCCCTAGTCTCTTGTGTGCCAACCCACAAACGTTATGGTTCAACATTGAACCTAATCAAAGCAAGCAGTATCACAACATATGTGGGTTGGAAAACAAGAGCCTATGGCATAGGAAGTCATAGACTTGGTATTAGGGATAGAAGCAGGATAGACGCGGCGGAGACTGGAGATAGTTGGCTGATAGTAGATTTGTTGCACCATAGACGTGGTCCATGTAGCAAAGGCTTAACGATGAGACTTACTCAGAGGCTTTAGCCTCGAATAAGTCACCCAGAGGCAGAGAGTGGAAAATAACGCTTTGTGAAGCACAAACCGAGTGGCAGGTGTCGAGTGAAATACCAGAGAGACAGCAGAAAGATGCTACGGGGCAAGAGGGAGACTCTGATAAGACCTATGGAAGGACTGCGTAACAATATGACAGACTCTGATTAACATTCTCAGCACAAAGGTGAAGCAGGGGTGAGAACGCCAGCGTGGAGTGTGGAGGGTTCTCATGAATGCCGTTCAAAAGCCACACCACACTACATCTAAATAAGCACGGTAAAAAAATTATAACAGTTAAGGCGTGATACGAGCATATAGGATTTGTGAATAGCCTAAGATAGAAGGCGAAATACCACAATAGTTTAGCAGAAAATTGGTCAAAGGATCGGCTTCAATTGTCTCTGACGAGTTGTAGTGTGGTGCTAAGTGTTAGGGTTCACTGACGATGCCGGCGAAGCGTCTGGAGCATAATATGGACTCCGGACTAAGCGCTTTACTCTGGGTCTTCCTACCAATATGACCAAGTTGCGATAACAACGTCACTCACATTCCTCCAAAATGTTAGAATAAGCTCATCAACCAAACCAGACATGTCAGATTACGTAACCCCAGTCTTGCCTTTCTTTGGATGGTTAAACGTTAATGACCCTAGACTGAAAGGTTAGGACAAATGGTTTCGTAATTTGATTTTCATGCTTACATGTTCATATCTCATTATCTCAACAATACTTGTTTACGGACCTACGCAGTCTCGGTCAAGGTTTTCTCTTGGGTCATTCGGTCTTGAGGATCAGAAACTGAGATTAAAACTTTGACAACTCTGATTTAGGAACCGTATTGCATATAGAC